TGTAATTACAGGCCAGTCACTCTCTTCATGGAGTGCAAAGGAAACACCTTCTGATGAAGACATGGTTCAGACTGAGCTGCTGTAATATGAAGAGGAGGAGCCTTTGAAATTAATTGATAAACGCAGACACGCTCTTTCTTAGCAGCTGGGTTAGTTCTGGGGCCAAGGGAATCAGGCCACTTTAAGGAATGCAAACAGTTTCTAAGTGTAAATGCCTTTTTAATAAAAGACGTACAGGTCTACAGATGAACAAACGTCTTTTAAAATCAGCTGATTTTAAATCCAAAACTGCCCTTTCTCAGGCATTTCCCTACAATGCTATAGTGGATAGTTCCGGTCAACAACAGTCTCAAGATCAGGCGGGAGTGAGATGATACAGTAGGTATGCTGGTGGATCGGTCTCAGGGGTGAAGCACTTTCAGCTACTTCTGAGAAGAAGGAAGGGAAGTAAGAAAAAAAAGGAGAATGGGTTTGCATGGAGTTATCTGCACTCAGTTTTCTAATTTTTAAACTAAAAATTTTTTAAAAATATTTATTTTGAGAGACAGAGAAACAGAGTATGAGCAGGGGAGGGGCAGAGAGAGAGGGAGACACAGTATCTGAAGCATGCTCCAGGGTCTGAGCTGTCCACCCAGAGCCTGACACGGGGCTCGAACTCACAAACTGTGAGATCATGACCTGAGCCGAAGCTGGATGCTCAACCAACTGAGCGACCCAAGCACCCAAGTTTTCTAAGCTTTCAAACCAGACATCTATACGGATCATTGCTGATAAGGTTAGGGTACATATGGGCCCTGGATCTGAGGGAAGCACATCAATGAAATGCATCATAAAGAAATCCACAGGTTCCTGGCCTGGGGCCCGGAGAGAGGCTCCAGGGAACTCCACAACTCAGACATTTGACTTAAGAAATTAGTGTATATGATATCATGTGCATGAAAAAAAAAAGATGTTTGTTCATTTTGAGAGAGGAGAGAGAGAGAGAATGTGTGTGTCTGTGTGTGTGTGTGTGTGTGAGCAGGGGACAGGCAAAGAGAGAATCCCAAGCAGGCTCCGTGCTGCCAGCCCAGAACCCGACATGGGGCTCAATCTCACCAACCGTGAGACCATGACCTGATCCGAAATCAAGAGTCTGATGCTTAACTGACTGAGCCACCCAGGCACCACTGATGTGCATTTTTATAGGGAGAATCTTTATAACTTTTACAAGATTCTGAGAAGATGCTCACCACCAACAAAGCTTACAGTTTTGCTTAAGAAAAACTAACCAGATGCAAATGGCACTGTACTGCGGTATTCTTTATTTAATATAAAGGTATTAGGGCGCCTGGGTGGCTCAGCTGGTTGGAATCCAACTTCAGCCTAGAGAAGACACTATAATTGCAGATACTTAAAAACATGTATTTACTCGTTTTGCTTCTAACAATTAAACTCAACTGTATAGGAGAAAGCATATCTTAAAATCTGATGTGATCTGTATTTGGTAGTGTATTCAGAATCTCTTCCTTGGGCCAACTTTTAATAATCTAGATACCTTCTTTCTCCTCTAAATACAGTGAAAAACTAGAATTTAAAATCATTACCTTGCTCTGCAGTACACTGTCATTTTCTCTGAGCTGCAAAATTAGACAAATGTCTCCACTTCGCATAAGGTTCGGGAGTCTGTGAACTATCAGGCAAAAGAACTACAGACTCCAATGGAATTACGGTTAGACATCCGAGTAAAAAATAATGAGGTAAAAATAAATGAGGTGCCCCTGTTGTTTCTTAGGATTTTTACTCTCCAAAAAGGAAATGCAAACGTAAATCAATCAAACAGAGCTCTTAGGAACTCTCCCTGCTCTCTGACAGGAGCTCTCCCTTGGTCATCTCCAGATGTAGCTCAGCACCCTGGGCTCCGACACACCAGTGCAACTAAAATGGTACCAAGTGTCCCTGAAGCTGGCCTGATTGCCTGGTTAACAGACCTCAAGTTTTAATAATAGACCCAACACACACCTGTGTCCAGTGCAGGAGGACCTGGCTCACAGTGACAACTGTGTTCCGATGGCAGAGAGCCCGATGCAGGTTCAACTTGAACACAAGGCACCATGAGGTCATGACCCAAGTTCAAGTTGGACGCTTAACCAACTGAGCCATGCAGGTGTCCCAGGTTAGGTTTTTTAAGTGCATTTTTGCTACTTGCTTTTCTTTGCCACCACTACTTAGAAAATGCTAGTCCAGCTGTGGTGCAGAGGTAAATTGCACCTTGGCACCATGATCATCTCTGAATAAGAGCAGTCCAAATTTAAGTTTCATTTATTTTATAATAAATATTATACCACCTAACAGTCCTAGTTTATTTTTCTTAAGTTTATTCATTGCTTTTAAGAGAGAGAGAAAAAAAGCATGAATGGGGAAGGGGCAGAGAGAAAGGAGACAGTGAGAATCCCAAGCAGGCTCTGCACCACCAGAGTAGGCCCCGATGTGGGGCTCGAACTCATGAACCACAAGATCACACCTGGAGCCTATGCTGGAGGCTCAACCAACTGGGCCACCGTGATACCCTCCTAGTTTCTTTATTCTAACGGTACTTTTATATCTATCTTGAGAGACAGAGCAGAGATTTGTTTTGGTGTCAAGAGTTTAAGGGTAAATTGAAACCACATCCTACAAACATTCAATAAATACAAAAGAAGAATCAAGGAAGGGCAGGTTTAAATTTCCCCACATTCAGTCAATTTTGTTTCTTATCAGTTTAAGGAAGGAAAAGCAATTCCTGGACATTTTGAGAGAGATTAAATCTCAAAACTCAAGCCCTCTTAGAATGACTCCAATCTTCAGGATAAAGCTCTGAGTTTCTTTTTTTTTTTTTTTTAAATCAACCCTATAAAATCTACAGAAGACATATGAGTTGCATGTGTAGTTAGTTGTCCCCAAGCTAACGTGGACCAAAGAAGTATTTAGCAATGGTGAAAAATAAGAAGAATAATTTGTAAGAACCCATGTTCCAAACTGGGCTATATAAAATATGGTGAGGATTATATTAAGCCAAATGCATATATTAAGGAGGAACATTTTAATTTTGAAGGCTCAATGGTTAAATAGTACATGGAATAGAATGTTCACAATATTCAGAAGGATGAATTTTAGATAAGAGGGAAGAAACAGGAAAGCTTGGTTCAGAGCAGACAAAAAATTCCACTAGACATCTAGAACTAGGTGCATGTCACAGATTATATAACAGCTTCTTCTTCAAATATAAATGTATTTTATAGTGAGAATACTATTTGAGTCTACAGATGCTCCTTTGCCCAGGGAAGGCTCTACCCAACAAATGATCAAGTTCTACACTTTGCTTTTGCTGTGTTAGACACATCATTATCCTGGATACAAAAGGAAAAAGGGAAATTGGATTTCAGATGGGAACAATGAATTCCAGTTGTGAGTACAAGGAGGTAGAATTTCGATTATGGAAACCCATGAGAAAGGGGTTAGATCATCTTAAATGCCTTGTCAGGGTTTGTAAATTTTGTTTAAAAAGATAACTCTGACTACTAAGATCTTTTTATTGCCAAAAAGCTAGTGGAGGAAAAAAAATATCCAAACAAACTGAGAAAGAAAAGATCTTCACCATTACAGTGAGAACAAAATATTTATTTTATGCTTTTCTTTACTAAAACAAATGTTATTGACATGTTGAAAAGCTTTTGAACCAATGCATGAAACTTGGTAATCACTCCTAGATGAAGTTTTCAATCTAAAAAGTCATATGTGAGCCAGGATTTCACTAAAAATAAAAAAAAATTACATGCAAATGAGTATACATAGCCAAGTAATACTATGCATTAAAGTACCATTTTAATTCATACCCATCTCTATCTTTCACACTGGTAACAGATGATGGTCTTTTAATGGGGCATTAGAAGATTATACAATTATTCTTTACGGAGGTCTATTTCAGAAAGGGGTCTGCTGCTGAAGCACTGATGAATTTAAGCCCTTCTTCATTATTTTCCATTGAGTGATATGCATCATAACTTAGGAATTTGTGAACAAATGCTCAGGTTAAAGGGCCACAAAATGTAAAAAATAAAAATTAAAACGGAAAAAATTCAAAGGCAAAACTGGCCATGATACCTTAACCACAGTTGTGCTCTGTGCTGAGTTTAGGATTGTACTCTTCTTCGGAACAAGGTTTTCAAATGACAATACTCAGGTTTATAACTTTAGTATTTAAAACTCACCCCCTGCAGTGATGAATTTAAATTCTACAAGTATGTAAGTAAGCCTTTAATTGCTACCATATTCCATTCTTCATTCAGTTGATTAGCATATGGCACTCTGAAATCCTAAGTATGGGCTCAATTTCCACACAGATCTTCCTGTCATTGTAAAATCCATACACTCCTAGAGAAGTAACTTGGAGTCTCTGCTTTGGATCAGGCACATGTGGGCTGGAATTCCAACTTGACCACTAGGAGCCTTGCAAACCTGGGTAAGTTATTCAAGTATTCTGAGCCTTAGTTTTCTTGTCTGTAAAATGCAGATAAAACCTGTCTCAGAGCCACTTCCCTGAGGTCAGTATGGACTGTAACAGGTATGCGATGTTTCTAAGAGAACTCAGAGCAGTGTCAGGTGTATGGTAGATACTCCGGAAGTTTTGGCAGGTGCTAAGGACCTTCTTACCTGCAGTCTGAAGTAAGAGCGGGGCGTCAGGCGCAGACAATGTGCAGTGAGAGCAGTGTCCTGTCTCTGAGCAAAGGCTCTTAGTATTACTGCTACACACTTGAATTAATTAATGGTCAACAAGCTGAGGATTTTGGAAGTTCTAGTATATGTTAAACATTCTCACAGTCACACTGTGTGTGTGTGTGGGTGTGGGGGTGCTTTCGTTTTAACTCTCTACCCAGACTCTTACAGGAACAGCTTTGCAACACAAAAACCAGAGCATTATTACCTTAACTCCTGAGGCAGTTAGCACATTTCCCTTGAAACAGGAATTTATTTTTACTTCTTACCTTTTCAATTTTTTCATCCAGCATTCTGAAGAATTCTTGTTGGCTTTCAGAGATGTGCATGCTAAAAAAACAGAGAGTAGTTAAGTGCATATTTCAATGTTTTCTGAAACCCAGCTCCCTCAAATGAAAAACGCTGGGTCCCTAGACTTTGAGGCAGACATTTATTTATTGCTGACTTTTCCACTGAGATAGTCTGAGGTCATATTAAGGAGAAATGCCATTACAATAATCCTCTAAGTGTGTTGCATAACAGTCTACCAGTTCCTATGATTTAAGGAATAGAATTTCTTTTCAATGTACACACGTTATTTATAGTGATGTTACTGGGAGGTGCGTGCCAAATGATTTCTTCAGATACACATTTGTGATTAAAAAAAAAAAAAAAGCATAGCCAAGCAGTTCATGGCATATTTCACACTTGTGTGTGACTGGAAAAGAAAATATATACAAGTTATTATGGTGAAAATGTGTATTTTATAAAGACTGTCATCACCAGCATGGTATTCAGCTGAGCATAGAGGTGTGGGCTGGCGGCAAATAGGCGAAAGAACTTGACATTGCCCCGGAACGCTTTGCGCAGTCATGATGGCCAATGCACCTTTTTGGAAGTGAAATTCTACTGGGATGTGGGAATGAGTCAGGAAGCATATCTGAATAGCACCTGCCCTGTGTGTTTGCTTGTCTGATGCTATTTAACAGCGTACTTAGAAGACACAGTCGCTGGGGACAAAACAGAAGGTAAGGAGAGCAGAGAAGAATCACAGATGGGAAGTGCACGGGGGAGGAAAATGCTTTGGACACAACACGGTCTTAATGACAGCAACTAGGTGTAGGTGGTCCAAGCAGGGTCAGGGCTGGGCTGAGACACATCATACAGTGCTTCTTTCGCTGTGAGTCCTTACTTGTTGCAGTGGCTGGGGCTGGGGGGAGGGGAGGCTCTGGAATAGCTCCTTCCCTTCAAGTCTTTGTAGGTGACAGCGCACCTGACATACCCCTTAGCATTATGCCTCATTCTTTAGGGGCCACAGAGAATGGCACAAGGGACCCCATACCCTTCAGGCCTCAAGGACAGATAATGGGGCTTGAAGGAGGTTTTTCCCTGTCTGTAAAAGCAAGATTTAAAATCTGGGGGCACAAGGACATTAGCTCTGATAGAAGAGGAAAATGACAAATTATCTGATACCAGCAATCTACTTTCACTTATATGTCATGTCATTTTTCCTGCCCTTTCTATGATAATTCAGGGGACGTACATGTCCTGTTTCAGACACAGGGCCTCTCTTGTTGCTGATCAGAAAGGCAGGCCAGAGTCTGGGAGGTTGAGGATATATTAAACAGTCTCCTTTCCTTCTCTGGCTCAGTGGAAGGGCCTTTTTGCATACCTGGGTTTTCTCAGATTCCCCATGGTTTTACTTCTGTAAGTGCCAAAACATTTTTTATTTGAGCCATGTTGGATGCAAACCTTCTAAATTTAATAGAGGATCTATCACAAACATTACTTGACTTTCACTTAATGGCCAGCAGACACTCCCAAGGCCTTAAATCACAATCTCCCTCTGTGATACAGGGACACCCCCTGGAGCCTCCGAGGTGGGTAGAGCTGGCTCTCCTTAAGCAAAGTGGCCTTAAACTATAGGCTTTTGTTCTCTGCCTGCTTTGAATGGCTCCTCTCATTTCCTGTGGCCAAAGAAGGTATTGGTTCTCTTTCAGTTTTCTTCGCAGCAGCTGCTTCTGCTCCATGCTTAGCACATCCAAGTCCATTAGAGTTGTGTCTAAAGTTAGCACAAACAGGATCCGAGGGAGAGCCTGGGGGGCTTCTTGGGAGCGGAGAACAGGAATATTCTGGCAGTCAGTGTAGCTGCTCAGACACACTCTGGGCATCCTCCCTGTTCCTGGCCAAACTCTCAGTAGATGAGGTTGCTGGACAGCTCTGGGTCCCGGATAAAAAGGCATGAAGACATATAAATATAGTTATGTCTTAATAGATAACCACACATACATACGTGTGCATATACACACATATATCTTAATATGGATAACCATATACATATAGATAGATACATATTGGTTTTCCTGGGAGAGTCCAAAAGACTCCCATCATAAAGATGGCATTTTTTAGGAGCTGATGTCCATTGTGGAAACTTTCAGGTAAGAGTTTTTAACATATATTGTTTTGCATATAATGGAAGGGCAATATTTAATCAATGGACTGAGTGGTCCCTATTTCAATTCATGTGATTCGTGAACCCTCACAGAGGCAGTTCAGTTTGTTAGCAGGGGTGAACTGCAGGTCTAAAGTTCCTTGTCTATCAAACCATCAGACTGGTCTCGAAGTCCCTTCCGGTACTAACATTCTATGATTGTTGCCAACTTCCACTGACTCCTTTATTGCAGTATCACAACATGAACACAGGGATGCTTGGTTAGTGCTCACACATGCATATCAGACTGACAAGAGCCCTGGGATCAGGAATGCAGAGCTCAGGATCCATAACAGGAGCTTGATGTCAAAGGTGAGGCTCTCAAGATGCATGTGTAAAAAGTAAGCACAAAACCTCAGTCGTTCCAGTTTTGTGTAGTTTACCTACCTACTTTCTAACCATTTAAAAAAAAAAAAGGCATTCCTTGATTAAAGCTAACTGAACAAAAGCTACTCAGCCCAGAATTAATTAGTCAAGATAGGGTATTTTCAACCCCACCTGAATTCTGACCCAAACAGTAACCTTACTCTGGGGTAGAGGGTCCAATGGCTGAGAAGTAAACTACCACGTTCATTTTCAGCTGTGTCCTTAGAGAAGCAATTCTACCCAAACACAGGCAATTGGACATCAACCGGTGCGTCTCTACCACCATACCCCACTGATACACAAACGCCGCCTGCTCTCTTCATCTAAGAGCATGAGAACATCCCTGCCTGCCTCGGTCTCATTTCAAAACCTACCAAGGAGCGTCTCCCAGCAGACTGACTATCTTCCCACCTTGAAATACAGTACGTGGGCTGTGTTAGCCAGAAAAGATGAATGGAAAGGTGACTTATTTATTATCAGATCCTGATGCACCATATGAGCTCTTCCAGATCCATTCCGCTGTCTCTGGAAGTGTGGCAGACATGGCCACACGAAGCCAATGGCACCACCATGTCCTTGTTGTCTGTACGTCACCTTAAATGTGGTGTAACCTGAACATGTGAGGTTTACTCCGCTGTTCTCTGTGGGTTGGCTTCACAGACAAGCCCTGAAATCCCTTCGACAGAGGCAAAGGCGGCATCTTCCCTCTGATGAAATAAATGACCCCATTTCAACAGACTCCTGCCTGGATAAATACAGACACTCTCTTCTCACGTGGAACTCTATCAACACAACGGCATTAATGCTAATTTTTACCCTCAAACTGTGCTGTGAGAACCAGTCTGTAGGTAATACCTGGATTCTTAAACTCTTTCTGCTGCACAATTTGGTGACTGAATGGTGCGGGAGAAAAAAGCACACTGGACTTTCTGTCTTTCCTCAAGGTATCAGAAAGGGATAATTAGACTGTTTACGATTCCACTTACAAAGCGAGAATCTGATGCCAAGATTAATTAGATCTAAAAATCTTTTATAAAAGCCTGTATGCTGGTACTTGATTTAACTAACAAAACAATTGCAGTAATTCCTATTTCTTCCTAATAAACTCGGCCGCGGAAAGCACAATGCTCTCCTGGAGTACCTCCCTTGCCCCCAGTTGGAGCTGGCAGAGCTCTGGTGAGTTAACCCTGAATCATCAAAGACTCTTCTGTCTGTGATTTCTCAGTTTCACGAGACGAGGGATGGTGACAGTATGGAATCTTAAAGACAAGTAACCAAAGTAGCGAAGAAGGTGGATAAGATGAACATTCGAGTTGAAAGATATATATATTATGGCTTTCATTTTTAGGGACTTAAAAAAAAGTTTCCAAATAATAAAAGCCCAAGCCACAAAAGTATCAGAAGGCAAGGTCCTACCTCCCTAATGACTTCAACTGCAAAAACGAAATGCAATTACTCAGTGGGTTCCTGGCAAATCTTGGCCTGAATACAGTTATTTCTTCAAAATCATCATCATCATCGCTCAACTGGATCTCAGGGAAGTGGCTTAATCCTAATCCTCACTTTAGGACACACCCTTGCTTGTAGTTCATGCACAGCTACTTTTATTGAGTCAAACGTACTTTTTTAAATAGTATAATAAGCACCCATTAAACCAAAACAAAAAATGAATGTTAGGACCTTGACAACAACCTAGAGCTAATTTACTTCCCACCCATGTGTGTTCCCCCAATTCAAGGGAACCAACGTGCCCTTACTTTCCTTTTACGTAGCGTTATTGCCTCTACGTGTGCTTTAAAAAGCAGATGATTTATTTAATTATTTTTAACTTTACAAAGAGTGCATCACACTCTCTGTAATCTTTCAGGATTTACTCTTTTCTTCTATTATTACATTGCTTGGTTCCACCAGCGTTGCGTTAATATTTCACTGCATGAAGGCAGTGGGGTTCATTTACCCAATTTCTTGTTAAAGGGCATTTGGGTTATTTCTTTTCTTTTCTTCCTTTTTTTTGAAATAAAGTTTATTTTATTTACCAGGGGTGGGTGGGGAGAGGCGGGGGGTGGGGAGTAAGAGAATCCCAAGCAGGCTCACACTGTCACACACAGCCCGACGGGGGGGGGGGGGGGGGGCCNGACCTGAGCTGAGGCCAAGAGCCAGAAGCCCAAATGACTGAGCCACTCAGGTGCCCCAAAGGGCATGTGGGTTGTTTCTAACTGTTAAGGCATTCCTAGCAGCATCAGATACTGTGATTGGCACCGGGTCATACATTATTTCATTTATAAATATTTCCAGCCCTGTAAGCGAAGATGATTCTCCTCTATTTTTCTCTGAGAAAACTGAAGCCCGATGACATTAAGTCACTAGCTTGAGATCCCAAAGTCAGTAAGCATGTGCTCTGCATAGTACCTCAGATGAAGGTGTGAAGACCATCTACCTCTATTATTAATAAATCTCCTGTTATCAGGTATGGGATTGTCCTTCCACTTCTGGGGAAAAGAAACTCATTATCTTATTTATGCACTGCATAATAAATAATAGTTTCTTGATCACCTGTGTCAGCAAGGAGGAAAAGTAAAACTTCTTGTGGTTTTCCAGAAAGATGTCGTAGTTGAATTCTAGTAACCCAAGATTCTGATTCATAGTTTAAAACAGACATGCGTGCGCACACACACACACAAACACACGAATAACAGAGGATTTTCTTAATTTTAATGTAAACACACGAGCCAAATTAGTCAATTTCACTGGAAGCTTCAGCACATGTCAGTTTGCAAAGCAGGCTGCTTCAGTGTGTCTAAATTAAATAAGCATTCACACTAAAGGGAAAACGAAATTCTCCTTCATATAGTCTCTGCTTAGAACTCAGAAATATGGGAAACATTTAAAAACAGCATATATTGAATGGCTTCAATGAAAACATGACTTGGTTGTATCAGAGCTACATGCTGTCCCTCCGAGGCAGATAAAATTAGTGTTGATAAAAGTGATTATCGATGAATCGGGCAGGGAAGGTTGTGATTATGGCATAACGTGCACCTAAGGGTTCAAAAATCCGTTTTACCATTCCACTGATATTATAGATGATAAGGGGATTTTAAAATGTCCAGTTTTCTTTGAAAGTAAAAAAATTAAAACCTTGCACTCATCCACCACCCCCTGAAGAGGGCTACATACTATAACACCTCCACAGACACCGAGCCAGCGTACAGTGATTACGAACTAGGTTATTTTTGTCTCGATTTCCTGGGAAGAATCAGACATAACAGAACTTCTCCTGCTTATGGCTTGGGTTTATGGAACTACTATTACATACATGTAATAGATTTATTTTGGGGTCATTCATCTTCACCAATACGTAGAATTCTACAGGTCAACTATGTTGGCCAGCACACATGTACAAATGTTTCTAGGTACACCAGAGAGGGGGAATTGCTGGTGGGCAAGGGATGCCCAAGTACGATTTTCTTAGTACAAATTGGTTTCCAAAGTAGTTGTACCAGATTATACTTCCACTGGGGTGAAGTGTGCCTACTGTTCAACATCCTGGCCCACCATTTGTATTGTCAGACTTCTACATTTTTTGCCCCTCTTGTAATATGAGATGGTATTTTTTTTTCCTAGATGTTAGCTATTCATGTTTCCTCTTCAGTGAAATGGTTGTTCATATCTATAGCTTCTTTTTCTATGAGCTCTCTGGTTTTTACTTATGGATTTATGGAGTTACTTTACATATTCTGGAAACCCAACATTTGTCAATTATATACGCTGTAAATATATTCTATCACTTCCTTCTACTCTCCCATAGTAAATTTTGTTGAAAAGTTCTTCATCTTAATGCAGTCATATTAATTAATCATTTTTCTTAAAAGAACTGCGTCCTTTGTGGCTTCTTCAAAATTCTTCCCTACCCCATAGTCATAAAGATATTCCCCTTTATTTTCTTCTAACTGATTTGAAATGTCTGTTCTGTCATTTATTGTGGGTCTTTTTTGGCACTCTCTGCTCTGTTCCATTAGACCGAATCATAGCGTCTCAATCACTGAAGCTTGATAATACGTCTTGATTATCTGGGCAGGCAAAATACTATTAGCTTGAAAAACAATATAAGGAAAAAAGGAAGTAGTGCTTACTTTGCTCTGGGTTGATGAACTAATCCTGGAATCTCTTTATTAGTTTTAAGTCTTACGTTTGAACTGGCACTTTTTTCCTGAAAAACATAGAGACATAAAAGACAAGGTAAGAATTGGCAATTAAACAGCAGCATAAACTGTCATCACCGAAATGTTAGATTTGCTTGAGACCCTTCACAGCTAGCTACTTCCCAAGGACAAAAATCCCTGCAAAGATATCACACTGTAAGGTGAAACCGCCAAAGATCTGGAACACTGCCGCGGAAAGGGGAGGGTGTTTTAAAACAGCTGTAACTATTTTTTGAAAATTATGTACCACTCATATGTGATTTTTAGGTGTTCTTAGGAGTTACTAAAAATAGGAAGAGACTCAAAGAACAGAAGATTCTAGCGTCAGAGGGCAGCCATAGTACAATCACAGACACCTTTCACGTGCCTAGGTTAAATGACTTCAGTGCATTTTGTTTATAAAAGACAACGGTAGTTATTGAGACATAAAGTTTGCACAGGGCCCTAGCAGTGACGGGGACAAGAACGTGATTAAAAATAACTAAATCTATTCCACCCATAACAAATATTGAGAATGAATTCAATTGAAAGTAAAATTCACTACTGACCTATATTCAAGAAGCATGTCTTTGGCTTTTAGTCTGATCTGATTCCCTATTCCCAGTATACCAGCCACATAGGAAAGAAACACTCTCACACCTTAAAATGCAAGTATATCCGTAAGCACAATCGTAGTACTGCTCTATATTTATACCATCTCAATAACAGAACTGCTTTATATCTATACAACATTATCTTTACAAAATATTCAGGAAGCTTTATAATTTACTCTCAAAACACACCCCCAAATGAAAGTCACGACTGTCCTAAACCTATTTAACAAGTGCCGGTGTGCGTGCAAGGATCCTGACGCGTAGCAATAATTCAAGACCTAGGCCAGGACAAGGAATAAAGACTCCTGTGGGCTGACCCCCAGTTCTTTCCAGATGCAGAGGGATGTGAGATGACAGATAAAACAGATGATCCCCAAATGAAGTCTTTCAAGAGCTCCTCTTTCTCTCAGGATAGCAGAAGCCATTTAATCAGTGAGCCTCTGTGATTTACACACTGGTTTTTTGGCTATTCGCCATCAAATGTGAGCTTATCTATACAGCATCAGTATTCCAAAACAGAGAGTACTTTTGTTTGTGATCTTCTAGGAAAAAAAACAATCGTTATGATTCTTTTGCAATCTATCTTATCTTCTTTACCTCACACTAAACTTGGGAGTATTTTCATAACCTTTTAAAAGGTATAAAATATATAAATAGTCCTTCTGCTGACACAGTCAGGGAACAACAGACGAAATACCTTAGTGTTTACAAAGCAGATGCACCGGCTCCAGGGGGGTGAGGCCGGGCCCTTTACGGAGCTGCGCGTCACATTACCGGTTGCATAAATGAACAAGGTCAACAAATGATAAAAAATAGCTCACATGCACTCTCTCTGGAAGGACCGCAGAGGTAGGTTCCAAATTAGTCATCTTTGTCCCCTTAAACTTCCTGTCTGCTTGGATCAAGCACTGAAAATAGACATATGACGGAGCCTTCTACTTTTTCTCTACTCACATAAGTCCCCAAACGCTGAGCTTAAGTGAGGTAATGTTAAACACTGCTGAGGCAGAAATGCGGCTCCTAATGCTAAGATGATAGACGATACACAACTGTATTCTGTTTATATTCGACTTATTAAACCGTACCCTTCATAATTACACTGCCTCACCACATCTTCCTTAAAAACACATTGTGTGGTTGCTGGCCAAAGAAGGAAATCCCAACAGAGGTTCAACGGATGGGCAGGGCACTGTGGCCCCGAGCAGCACAAGCCAGCCCTTCGGACACCACGCACAGGTGCGCCCTGCCAGGAAGCGGGAGGGCCCGATCTGAGACAGAGGCGCGGGGAGGCATCTCAGCGACAGATTTCCCAGCGACACAAAAGAAAGAAGAGAGTACATATAATTACACAGACGTTTCTCTGGATGATGTATGTACAATGTATTTGTTTTAACGAATCACCACGCACCAAGATCATAACAACCCAATGATCACTTACTATGAGTCAGGCACTATTATAAGTGATTTCCATATAGTAACTCATTTTAATATTCACAACTATTTACACGACTCATTTAATATTCACAACTATTTACATATATATTTACATTTTAATATACACAACTATTTTTATGTCCCCAATCTATTTCTGAGATAGGTACCATTTTTATTTTTACTTTTTTATATTTTATATTTTTATATTTAAAAACATTTTATATTTTTAAAGTTTATGGATTTATTTTGAGAGAAACAGAGACAGCGTGAGTGGAGAAAGGGCAGAGTGAGAGGGAGAGAGAGAATCTCAAGCAGGCTCCATGCTGCCAGCACAGAGCCCAACATGGGGCTCGAATTCACAAAACAATGAGATCATGAACCTGAGCAGAAACCAAGAGTCAGACGCTTAACCAACTGAGCCACCCAGGTGCCCCGAAAGGTACCATTTTTATTCCCATTGTATAGATGAGACAGCTGAGGCATTGAGAGATGAAGCACTTATCTGAGATCACACAAGTAAGAAGTGATAGCGTTGGGATTTCAACCCAAGAAGGACCCCCTGAGTCCATGCTATCAGCCACGAGGCCAGCAGTTCTCAAATCGTTTTAGTATCAAGCACCCTTTGCCCATATTTTCCAAATTCTGACATATTTCATTATATAAGATGAAAAAAGAAATCACATTTTTAAAAATCACCATCAATCTCATCAGGAAACTCTTGACAGGAGCTGTCAGAATCCTGATAGAAATCTGTCAGGAGATCCTGACAGAAGCTCATGGTGGTATAAAATTTTCCAAAAATTCTAATTTTGGTTTAACATTTGAATTTTATGACTGACAACACATCCCGCCAATTGTTTTCTCTGAAGTGACATGTTCTCTTCATTTGTTCTTGAGACAGTGTTTGCCAAATACTCAAGTCTGAATATCCATAATTTGTATGCCAGGCATTTTTTTTCTAAAGGAGAGATGGTGCTCCTTAAAAACAATTGCTAGTTTAGCCTGCAACGCAGTCAACAGTAGAAGTACTGTTTCTTGAGATAAGCCTCTTACCTGGGTGTGCAGAAAAAATGCTTAATGTATCCCTACTTCCCATTTCATCCCATAGACGATTATAAAGCAATGCATAGGTGCGCCTGGGTGGCTCAGTCGAGTAAGCATCAGACTTTGGCTCAGGTCGTGATCTCGTGATTCGTGAATTCGAACCCCACATCAGGCTCTGGGCTGACAGCTCAGAGCTAGGAGCCTGCTTTGGATTCTGTATCTTCTCTCTCTGTCCCTCCCCCGCTCGCACTCTGTGTCTCTCTCATTCTCGCTCTCAAAAATAAACAAACATTAAAAATAATTTTAAAAAGCTATGCATCCAGGGTGCCTGGGTGGCTTAGTCGGTTAAGCGTCTGACTTTCGCTTAGGTCACGATCTCGCGGTTCGTGGGTTCGAGCCCCGTGTCGGGCTCTGTGCTGACTGCCAGCTCGGAGCCTGGAGCCTATTTCAGAGTCTGTGACTCCCTCTCTCTCTGACCCTCCCCTGCTCACGCTGTGTGTATGTCTCTCTCTCTCTCCTAGAAATAAATAAAATATTAAAAGAAACAAAGCTATGCATCCAAGGCACAAGACTTAGTGTAATTAAATAAAATGTTACTGCTTCATGAAGGGCATTCTTAAGTGAAAAGGGAATGTATTCTTCCATTATAAGCACACGGTGTTGGTGAACACAATGACTACTTACAATTTGGTGTCACTGCCTTGACTGGTGGTAAGATACCAGCAGTTTCACCCACCGCCGCTTCTGTACCATCAGGGCAAATGTCAACATGGCAAAAAGGGCAAAATGCTTCTTAGCATTGTGAGGAAAATGACCTTGAGGACCTCCTGAGAAGGTTCTAGGGACCCCAGGATCTGCAGGCCATACTCTGACTTGTGTCTCTCTATTTCTTTGGCAGAGAAAAGAACAATCGATTCTTTAATTTGCTATATGCCTTGTTTAAAAAAAAATACTTAACCACTTTGTTGAGGTAAAATTTATATTCCATTATAAATGTATGATTAAGTGATTTTAGTAAATTTATAGAACTGTGTAATTACCACCATGATCCAGTTTTAGAACAGTTCCGTCGTCCTAAAAAAAGTTTCTTCAAACTCATTTGCAGTTGTTCCCTGCTCTCCTCTGTAGCCCCAGGCAACTACAAATCTGTTTCTGTCTCTCCGAGCACGCTTTTTATAGATTCATGTAAGTGGAATCTTACAATATGTAGCCTTCGGTGTCTGGCATCTTTCACTTATCATAATGTTTCTGAGGTTCATCTATATTGTAGCATCTTTTGGTATTTCATTTATTTTAATTGCTAAATAATATTCCAACATATGGATGTACCGTATTATACATTCACCACTTGATGGACATTTGGGTTGTTTCAAGTTTGAGGACATGATGAATAATGCTGCTATGAACACTCACATAGAAGTCTCTGTTGAACATATATTGTCATTTCTCTTGGGCAGATTCCTAGCATTGAAGAGCTAAGTTATATGGTGAGCATACATTTAACTCTTTAAGATATCACCAGACTGTTTTCCAAAGTGGCTGCACCATTTTACATTCTCACGTGGGGTGCATGATGGTTCCGCTTTCTTCATGTCCCCACCAACACTTGAGAGTGTCTTTTCGATTATTGTCCGTCTCATTGTGGGCTTTATTTTAAAAAACATGACTTATTTGGATTTGTTCTTTGTATCCCTCAGAATATCTAGCACCTTGTTACACACGATCATTTATATGTTTACCAGTTAGTTGTATTTGCACCAAGATGTCAGTTTTATATTTGCTGATAAACATCACCTAATTCTCCTCTTCTGAGTGTATTGGTTGGGAAAAGGGAGGTTTAAAGCTATCTGTTTAAAAAAAAAAAAAAAGAGGGGCGCCTGGGTGGCTCAGTTGGTTGAATGTCCAACTTTGGTTCAGGTCATGATCCTGCAGTTTGT